TTTACACTTAAGGATTTTGAAATAAATAACATTTGTATCATTTTTACACATAAAAATATCAAAACTAATGGCTAATCTTGCTGTACAAACTACTTAACTACACATTACCTTAACTACATATAAAAATCMTCACAGTTTAAATCCATATATAACTTAACTACACATACAAAAATCCTCACAGTTTAAATTTTCACACAATGGTTAATCTTGCTGTACAAACTACTTAACTACACATTAGCTGGATTAGAGAGACTAGTATGTAACTTTCTCGTTTTGCCTATCATTGCTCTGTTTAGACTTGTTTCATATCTATACAACACTTCCATTACTTGCATTGTACCCTTATGAGGCTTCTTCTCTTGCTTGTATCTTAGATGCCTACCAACTCAAGTAAATGAGTATGATTTAGTCCCTAAATTAGCCCCTGTTCCTAAAGAAGTTATTGCATTCATTTTCATTGATCGGTCTACAACCCTTTGATGATGAATCTCCATTGGCAAATACAATGTGGCATGCATTCCACTTACATTGTATTAGCCAATGGAGTTCTAATAGCTGTCTTTCTTGTAGGAATCCTTTAAGCTAGTTATATTCAGTGTGATGTCTTCCAATAATGAAATATAAAATAAAATTTATGTTTCTTTATGTTAATCCTTTGTTTATTGTTTAAATTTTAAGTTATCATGTACTGTTGTGATTCTGTAATGTAATCTTTAGGTAAATGGAAACGGACACATGTTTAGATTGAAATTGGTAAAGATATTTATATCTACATGTTTTTACTTGTTTTACATATCTCCTTTTTCTTTGACACTTTCCTTTTTTCTAAATTGATTATTAAAAATAACAAATTTCAGAAATTTCCATTTACAATTTGGACGAACCGTTTCCAACAAATCCTATGTTGATAATGCAAATATTTGACCTTGCTTGGAAAACAAGAAATAAAGGATGGTAGTTAGAAACAAAAGCCCTAGACACAGAAACAACCAAACAAAGCTTCTTAAGTTATAATACTAAACCATGAGGAATTTTAATACTTTTTCCCAAGAATGATACCTATAATGATAGACACAAGAGCAACTCCAAGTACAATCTTCAATGTCATGAGATGCGATGTTTCAGTTTTCTGAATGGTAACGTTTCCTGAAGAAGACGAATGTGAAGGAGAATCATCTGACTCTTTCTTGCTCTTACGTTTCTTTGGAGTTGTAAATGATACGTCAATATCTCGAGATTTCACTTCAACTTCTTCTTTTCCCGTAGACTCGGTTTCCTGCAGGTTTGGTTTCTACATAAACAGAGCATTTTTCGACAAATTGTATGGTAAATTCATCGAAATGCGGACATGTATATATATATGACTGACCTTAGATTTAGCATCTGCAAGCTGCACTTTGTGTTCAAGCTCTTTGTAAAGTGATTCGAGAAGAACATTCATACTATTCTTAGCTTCAAGCTCTTCTTGTGATTTCTTCAAAGTAGCCTCCAACTCCGAATACTTTTGTGACTTCTCTACTTCGAGTTGTTCTTGAAGCTTTACGAGCTCATTCTTTGTGCTCTGATACATCTCATTGACTTGGTTATTCTCTTCTACAAGGGATGAAATCTACAAGAGACAAGAGTGTCAAATTATTCATGAGAGAGTTTATTAATACTTTATATAGATTCTCAAGAATGTTTTGTCTATACCTGTGATCGTAATCTTTCTCCTTCAGAAGTAAGCTGGTTCGTCAGATTCTCTATGACTGTTTTTGAAGCATGAAGCTCTTTGGCTATTTCGTCTTTCTCTGCCTCTAAAGCAGAGACCTTTGTCTCCAAATCGCTGGTCTCTGACCCTTGATTGGCTAGTTCCTGATTTATCTTTAAATTCACATCAGCCAAATCTCCATTTTCTTTCTCAAGCTCTTTGATTGTCGCTTCGAGAGTCTCCAGTTTCGATAGCGCCTCTTCTAGCTCCATTTTTCTAGTATCCGCAACTCCAGATGCTTCAAAGACCTGTCTTTTATGCTCCTCGATTACATTTTCATGGGATTTCAACTTTGTAATCAAGTCTTTAGCTTCTATGTCTCTCTGATTAAACCTTTCGGTTGCTTCTTCGGTCTGTCTCATTGCGGTTTCTTTCTCATAATCTAGATATCCCTCGAGTTCTTGAATCTTCAGCTTGAGCTGGTTGTTTGTATCTGCTAGTAATTCGTTCTCCGAGAACGATTGATCGAGTTCTTCTTTCAAAGAAAGCGATTGACCAGATGCTTCAGCTAACTTCTCTTCGTCTAATCTTATTCTCTCTGCGAGATCTTTCGATTTCTCGTTCGAAGACTTGACCTCTGTATCTGCCTTTTGGATTCTAACCTCTGATTGTTTATGCAAAGCTTCAAGCTCTATACTTCTTGTGGTAGCTTCATCTATTTCTCTTGCTTGCTTCTCAAGTCTCTCTTCTGCGGATTTCAGCTTCTCCATCGCCTCGCTTAAACGAACTTCAAGACTCGTGTTTTTCACTTGGAATGTCTCAAAGTCTTTCAGTTTTTCCTCTGCTTTCTCTAATTTCGATTGCGATAGTTGGAACAGAGCTTCTAGCTCAAGGCTGCGTAGAGAAATGACATTTCCAAGATCTTCATGCTCTGCACCTTTCTGCAAAGCAATTCTCAAATCTTCTTCAAGCTCTGAGTTTCTCGCCGATGTTTGGCTCAGAGACGATTCCAGTTTAGTTACCTTTTCTTGGTATTCCTTATGTTTAGCATCATGCGACTGCAAAGCATCTTCCAAAGACTTCAAATGTGTTCTTTGTCTGTCTTCACCTTCAGAAATTTTCTCTTGCAGCTTCTTTTGGACAACTTCAAGCTCTTCGTGCTTCTTTTCGGTTTCTTCTAATCTCCCTATCGTAAAGAAAAGCTCATCTTTCAAAAGGGTACTCTCAGATTCATACCGTTTCAATTCCCCTGTTACTTTTTCCAATTCGAGCACCAAATTTTTCGCCTTTTCTTGCGATTCATGTAATTCTCTTTGTGAACCACTTGAGCTTCTTTCGATCGAAATTCGCTTCTCATCATCATACTTTGTGTCGATCCCTTCTTTCTCAACTTTAACAAATCCACCATCAAATGTTGTATCCTCCTCTTCTTTATCCATATCATCCTTTAACAAAACCGTAACACATACTAACTTTAAAGCAAATGATTGAAGAAATAAAATTCGTTTGCAAGAGTTACCAAATATTTATCATTACCTTAATAAGAAGGTCATCAGAATTCACTTTTGTTGCTTCTTCCATAACTTTTTTTTGTTCTGCAATTTAAAGGCTTTCCATAAAATTGGTGTTTAATGAGTACATGTAGTATGGAAACGAGTTTTGTTTTATTTGGAGGTTTGTTTCTTTCTTGCACTAACAAGAACATTGGAACCACAACAATTTCATTTAAAAAAAAAAAAGAAAAACATAGCTTGCAAGAAAGATGAACCAGTTCCCATAAAGTATCTAAAAATACTACTAACAAAGAAGAAGATAAGATTATCTCTTTGTGATCGTAGAGAGGCATACATCATTTCTTGTTCCACTTTACTATCAAGAAGGATATTCAATGATATATTTATTATTGCCAACGATATTCTTTAAAATATAGTACTAAAAGAAAAAAAATAGAGAAGGTTTGGAAGATCTCAAAATAAAGTCAACTTCCTTATACCACAAGAGTTTTAATCTGGTTTTAATACCTCCTTCAATGCTCATTCAAATTACAATGTGACAAAACTGTAAACAAAATTTGCAACCAAAGTTTACTTTTTTGGCCTGGTAAGTTGAAAATTGAATGATCACATTGTTAAGCATAATTTGTTTTTCAAAAACAAAAATTTATTAAGCATAAAACAAATTCAACTCTGATCATTTGACATTGACGCACTGTTTAAAGTTCAATGTACTATCTTTTTAGGGGAAAGGATAGCAACGGATGTATTATTGTAAACTAACGAATATTTGATAATACAGTATATTTAAATTGAATAATAAGGATGTGTTTATGGTGTCAATAAATAAAGACTACCGAACAAATTAAAAACATATTAAATGCACACCAAACTAGTTGCTCCTAGTTGCTCTCTCTCTTAAGAAATGTGTATAACAATATTTTAGATTTATAATAGCCCAGGTAGGAAAATGAGTGTATAATAAAAATAGACATGAAAATAAGTTTCAAAATAAAAACACTAAATATTACTAGTACTTTAAAGGTATTGCAAAGCCGATCAGAATTTG